AAAAAAAAAAAAAAAAAAAAGGTGATTACCCAGAAGAACCATAAAGGTTTTAAAAAATAACCCTTTATCCGGTGTATTCAGCAGCAATTTGACTCTCAAAATAATTTGCCCGTTGTTAGTGAAAGCAATACGGCGTTTTATCAACTTTTCCTTTAAAAACTAAATGTGTGTTTTTTTTTTTTAAAATAAAGACAGCCAAAAAAAAAATGTTTTTGCAAGAAGGAAAAACTCCACTTACAATAAAACAATAGAAAGGCTAAACGATACTTTTTTTTTTGCACTTTATTTTTCAGCTTTTTTGATTGTCTTTTTTCTTCTTGTTTTATTATAAACCTATAAACTTTTTATCTGCTTCTGAAAAGAAAATTGAGAGAAAAAATATATATATTATTGCTTCTTCCCCTTGTACATTGAGAAGAAAACTACGAAGACAAAATGGCACAAGAAAAAAAGAAAAAGTTTTTGATGAGTCAAGGAAAACTGATAAGAAAAAAAAGAAAAAATAAATGATGTGTAGAGTAGACAGATGATTATTCAATTTTTGTCTTCAGAAAACCACAATCCTCTAGTAGTTAATCGACAACCGATGCCAACTATTGCTGTTTAATAGTTGTGAAAAAAAAGGCAAAGAGAGAACTCATTAGCTATCCATTTTTTAAACACAGTCAATGCTTTACTTACTATGCTTTTTTCTCAGTGCTGAAAATTTTGACTAAAAACAATATTATTACAACGGTTAATTTGATGTAAGTATACGTTTTTGCTAATGTTTTTCAATAAGAGAAAAAAAAAGAACAAAAACAAAAATAAACTGATAAGAATCTTTATTTTTCTGCGCTAATTATAGCCTTAAAATTTTAGAGAAGTAAACTTAAGCAAAAGAAAAAGGACAACAACTAATCCGTACTTTTTTTGTTCTCCCTTATAACTAACTGCTATCGAATACTGCAGTTTTTTTTTCCTGCTACTAATAATACTACTGCCAGTGACGACGATTTTACTCTTAAACATTTATAAATGATAAATTGAACAACAGTATTCAATGAATAGCACAGTTTTTCATACCAACAGTTGATGCTGTAATACATCAAAACATTTCACTGATCCAACACAACAATTCTGTTCAGTATAATTTGCATGCAAACAGTTGCTAAACAGAAGCAGAATTAACACCGGAAAAAAACTTAACATTTAAGCGATACAGTTGCCACAGCAGCAGCAACAACAGTATTCATGCAATCGACAGTTTTCAATCTTCATAGAATACTGATTGTTTTATACATATTAACCGTCTGCTAGCAAATAATTGCTGTCTAATTTTTGAATCTATTAAAACCCAACCCAAAAACAACTGAAAGGCTTTATTTGCCATAAATAATGATGGATACTTGTAACAGTTACTGCTCGAAATATGACTATGTTGACGATAATGATAGGAAGCTGATGATGTTGAAGACAATGACGTAGGCAATCGCAACAAAAAAAACTGTTCAGATATTTGCGAAAATTCAGGAAAATAAATTAATACTGCATCCTATTGAAAAGAAAAATAGTGTAAACTATGACAATTGGATTCTATTAAATTTCAACAGTAATAAATAAGCCAAAATTGAAAAGAAAAAAAAATAAGTAA